GCATAACGGGGTTCAAGCAGGTGCCCCGGGGGAACGCCGCCTCGCTGCTGAGCGCCGTGGCGCAGCAGCCGGTGGCGATTGCCGTCCAGGCGGACCAGCTCGTGTTCCAGCTTTACAAGGGCGGCATTATCCAGGAGGCTGTCGAAGCACATGTGCATGAGCTTCGGGCGCCCGCGGGCGGCTTGTCGGCCAGCCCCATACCCCACATGCCCGCACCACCTTACCAGCCCAACACGTATCCTTATCCCTATGATTGGCATCGCTTGGGTCCGGTATCAGTCTCCAGGGTCCTTATGATTTCTGGAGCACCCTTACGATTGACCATCGTATCGGGCTGTCCGGTCTAAGAGAGGGATAAGTGCGAGGCGGGTTAACCTTGTTTCGCGCGCCAGGGAGGGGTGTGACAACGGGGTTTCGGCGCAAGCGTGGACGTCGTCCGCAGACGTCCGAAGTTTCTATTCATGTGTGTTTCTGGCCACCTGCCATCAAGGGGATGCAGTGTGGACCGACCAGGGTCGACCACGCAGTTCTGGTCGTTGGCTATGGCAGCGAGAGTGGGCAAAATTATTGGATCGTCAAGAACTCGTGGGGTCCTACTTGGGGCGAGAGTGGATACGTCAGAATTGCACGCGACGGCGGTGGTACATTCGGCGTCTGCCGCATCTTGACGGATCCCTCCTACGCCGTCATTGATAGTTCCAAGGCGCTTGCTCGCAACCGTTCTGCCCACCCACTCCCCCCTCCTCCACCCTTCCCTCTTCCCACCCCCCCTCAGTTTTGAACATCGATCCCCAGACCCAACACCCTTTCTGGAGCACATTCTGGCCAAGGTCCTGAGGCAAATCCAGCTGTAGCATCGCGGGTTCCTACAAAAGTGGTCACGGCAAAATCAGGAACGAAAAAATCACCAATCCTCCTCCCTCCTCATTTCCTCCTCCCCCCTTCATGCAATGCCAGTGGGGCTCCAGGTGTGTCAGCCATGAAGTGGGGACCCATCCGAAACTCAAAAACATAAGGATTCTGGAGGAGCAAGGAAACGATGCGGGAGGATGAATGAGTCTGAGGGGTTCTGGTGCTTTCTGCAGTGCAGGTTGAGAGGAAACGGGAGGTAGAGAGGATGATGGTGCTGATGATGATGATGATGATGATGATGATGATGATGATGATGATGATGATGATGATGATTACGATGATGATGATGATAATGATGATTATGATGGATGATGATGATGATGATGATGATGATGATGATGATGATGATGATGATGATGATGATGATGATGATGATGATGATGAATGATGATGATGATGATGATGATGATGATGATGATGATGATGATGATGATGATGATGATGATGATGATGATGATGATGATGATGATGATGATGATGATGATGATGATGATGATGATGATGATGAATGATGATGATGATGATGATGATGATGATGATGATGATGATGATGATGATGATGATGCAGATGATGATGATGATGATGATGATGATGATGATTGATGATGATGATGATGATGATGATGGAGGAGGAGGAGGAGGAGAGAGGAGGAGGAGGAGGAGGAGGAGGAGGAGGGGGAGGAGGCGGTTTCCACACCCTCCTCCTTCCTCTTACCTCCTCTTCCGACCTTCTTCCTCTCACATTCCGACTCCCTCCTCCCACCTTTCTCCTCCTCGCTTCAGGAGGTGTGGGAGGAAGAAGGAGGGATGTGGATCCAGAGGAGGAGGAGAAAGATAGACCAGTGCAAATGCAAGACGCATAGACGATGACTCAATAACCCTCCCTCCAGGTTTCTTTTTCACATATACCTACAACAATGCAAGTATATAGGGGGAACCGTCCCATTTGAAGACAATCGTCTGAGAGTCCCCAGTTCTGGGGCTTTCAACGCCGCGAATCATCGTGACCGTTACGTCTCGCGCCAGAACGCCATTCGCGGTGTTTAAGATCTCAACACCGCGCATCAACGTGTCTGTCGCGTCCTGACAATCCTAAATCCTGACAGGACGCCGTTCCTGGGACTCCAGGCATACGAGTCCTTGAAGCTGCTGCGAACTTTTGAGACGAGAGCGTGCGTCGCGTTGGCGAGAGCCACAGTTTGAAAGGAACCGTCCTTCATCCTTGAATATGTTGCTATTTAAAAGAAACGAGAGCCACATGTTGAAGAGGCGCCTCCCCCTATCCGTGCGCGACGCCAGGGCGAGATCCACAGTTTGAAAGCCACCCGCCTTCCATCTTGGAAACTGATGCAAATTTCAAGTTCCAGGACCACAATTGGTTAGGAAGTCTCAGGCGAAGCGCCTGGCCCGCCCTGCTGACACGACTGGGAGGTGCGACAGGGAATAGTGATCTGTACTGGAAATGGGATTCCGGAGGAGAGGTCTGGAGGAGGACGAGGGGAGGAGGAGGAGGAGGAGGACGAGGAGCAGGAGGAACATGATCAGGTTACAAAGTCAAGCTGTTGGACTGCCGCCGAATAACACATCTACTGAATTACGCGTGATCGCGGCGGTAGGCGCAGGACCATTGGCCAGATACCACGGTAGCATATATATATATATATATATATGTACATATCTATGTGTGTGTGTTTGTGTGTGTGTGTGTCTGTTAGTTTACATTTGTATATGTATACACATATGGTGGCGATACTCAGCCAGATTAGTGGTAGGCCGATGCTGACACACCTGACAAAGGATCTGGAGCTAAGTGCGCCCACCAGGCTTAACCCTCGGGGACCCAAACGCGATGACAGTTACAGGTTTCGAAGTGCCTGCTCGTGTGAGTAACATGATCTGCGGGCCCCAGACTGAGTGGGCTTCGCCTGAGGCGTCCTTGCAATTCACTCATCGACAAGGCCCCCCGTCTGAGACTCCCTCAAGAGTCTAACATCGGGCCACCCACATTGACGACAGTTACAAGTTTCGGATGACCCGCTCGGATTAGTAACATGGTCTGGCCCCATAGGGACGGGTCTCCCAGTAGACTTCCTCGCATTTCGCTCTTAGACAAGGCCCCCGCTCGAGACACAAGCCTCGGAGGCCCCAACGTGACGACAGCTACAGGTTTCGAAGGGCCCGCTCGGATTAGTCACATGATCTGAGGGCCCCATAGGGAGGGGGGCTCCCACCTGAGACTTCCTTGCAGTTTCGTCGCAAAGAAGGCCACCAGCCAAAGACTCCCTCAAGGTTCAAGCTTCGGGGACCAACAAGTGACGGCCGTACATGTTCCGAATTGCCCGCTCGGATTCGTAACCTAATCAGTGGGCCCTATAACGAGGGGGCTCCCGCCTGAGACATCCCATCCTTGCAATTCACTCATCGACAGGGCCCCCACCTGAGACTTCCTCGGGATTCAAGCCTCCCCATAACGTGACGACATTTACATATGTCGAATAAGCCGCTCGGGTTCAACTTGTGATCTGTGGGCCCCATAGGGAGGGGGCTCCCGCCTTAGACTTCCTCGCATTCCACTCACAGACGAGACTCCCGCTCGAGGCGTCCCGAAGACTCCAGCTTCGGGTGCCCAGACGTGACGACAGATACAAGGCTCGAGTGACCCGGGCGGATTCGTAACATCATTTGCGGGCTTCATTTGGAAGGGGCTCCCATCAGACGTCCTGCCACCATGGAGGAGGGAGGAGGAGGAGGAGGAGGAGGAGGAGGAGGAGGAGGAGGAGGAGGAGGAGGAGGCGGAGGCGGAGGCTGAGGCGGAGGGAGGCAGAGGGGAGGAGGAGGGGAGGCTTGAGGCGTGAGGAGGCGGGAGGCGGAGGCGGAGGCGGAGGCTGGAGGCGGAGGAGGAGGCGGAGGGCGGAGGCGGAGGGGGGGAGGTGAGGAGCGGCGAGCGGAGGGGGAGGCGGAGGCAGAGGCGGAGGCGGTGGCGGTGGCGGAGGCGGTGGCGGAGGCGGAGGCGGAGGCGGAGGCGGAGTGCCCGGAGGAGGAGGCGGAGCGGGGCGGAGGCGGGGGAGGCAGGAGGAGGAGGCGGAGGCTGAGGAGGAGGAGGAGGAGGAGGAGGCGGGGAGCGGGGGGGGGCGGAGGAGGAGGTAGGAGGGAGGAGGGAGAGATGGAGAGAGGAGGGAGGAGGAGGAGGAGGAGGAGAGGAGGGACGGGTGGAGGAGGAGGTGCGAGGAGGAGGAGGAGGAGGTGGAGGAGGAGGAAGGAGGAGGAGAGGAGGAGGAGGAGGGAGGATAGGGAGGAGGAGGAGGGAGGGAGGGAGGAGGGAGGAGGGAGGTGGGAGGAGGGAGGGGGAGGAGGGGAAGGTAGGGAGGAGGGAAGGAGGGAGGAGGAGGTGGGCGGGGGAGGATGGGAGGAGGGAAGGGAGGGAGGAGGGTGAGGAGGGTAGGAGGGGAGGGAGGGAGGGAGGGTGAGGGAGGGAGGGGGAGGGTGGGAGGAGGCGAGGGAGGAGGGAGGAGGGGGGTGGAGGGAGGTGGGAGGTCTTATCTTAGGGAGGTGGGTGGTGGGAGGAGGGAGTAGGAGGAGGGAGGTGTGGAGGGAGGAGGGTGGTGGGAGGAGGCGAGAGAGGGGGAAGGGGGGGCGGCGGGGGGATGGGATGGGGGGGAAGGATGGGAGGGAGGGGGGGGGGGGGGAGGGGGGAGGGGGTTGATGGGGGGGATGGTGGAGGGGGGATGGGGAGGAGGGGGGGGGGGGGGGGTGGTGGGGGGCTCTGCGACGGTCCGCTGCTGGCCAGCTGCCACCAGTTGTTTGTAATGGGGCAGGATGCCTCTTGGGGGGGCTATCTCAGGAGGCTCTCATAACCATCTGGACAACTTCTCAAGAGCCTCTCATGATATTCTCAAGATCTTCTCTGGTCTGAGGTCCCTCTCGGGTCCTTTTTTGGGCCCTGTCAGGAGTCTCTCAGGAGCCTCTCAGGACCCTCGCAATAGCCGCTTGTGAGCCCGTCAGGACCCTCTGATGAGCCTCTCAGGATCCTCCCAATAGCCTCTCAGGAGCCTCTCAGGAGCCTCTCGGGAACTTCTCAGGACCCTCTCATGAGCATCTCAGTACCCTTCTGGTGCCCCCTTCAGGTCCCCCGAGCCTCTCAGCACCCTCTGAGCCTCTTCTCAGCATCCTACTGTTAGGGCTCTTTTCTGGGAGCACTGGATTTGTGTGTGGATTTGCATATGGACTGGCTCATCAAAGGTTCCTTGTGGCAAGAGTTTGGCTGTATGGCTCCGGGCCGCCGACCAGGTGGTGCCTCCCGACATGACGGCGTCGCTCGTTCTGGGGGTCCTGTTCGTGGCCGTCATCTTGTGCGTGTGCCTGGGGTGCTTCCTCTACAAGCGCTGCAGCAGGTCTTCGGCGACTGGAGGATATCAGTAGGAGGAGGAGGAGGAGGAGGAGGAGGAGGAGGCGGAGAACTAGGAGGTGGTGGAGCGAAGAGGAGCAAGGGGAGGACGAGGAGGAGGAGGAGGAGCAGGAGGAGGAGGAGGAGAAAAGGGAGGAGGGAAACAGGGAGGAGGAGCAGGAGGAGGAGGAAGAAGAGGAGGTGGAGGAGGATGAGGAGCAAGAGGAGGAGAAAGAGGAGGGGTGGAATTAGGCGGCAGAAGGAGGCAGGAGGTAGGGGAGGCCGAGGACGAGGAGGGGTAAGGAGGCAGGGAGCAGGAGGCAGGAGGCAGGAGCCAGAAGCCAGGAGCCAGGAGCCAGGAGGGGGAGGCAAGAGGCAGGAGGCAGGAGGAGGCAGGAACCTGATCGTACGATGGCAGTGGTGATGGAGAAGAAGATTCTGCAGTTGAAGATGCTGGTGATGCGTATACCATAATGATCATGCTGGTGACGATGATGACGATGACGACGAAGCTAATGATATGAGGACGACGCTGGTGATGATGAGGAGGCGGATGATGATGATGAGTATGATACTTTCAACGACGATGAAGATCACGATCAAGATGAAGCTGACCATCAAGATACAGCGGTTGACGAAAACGCTGGTGATGATGAAGCTGATGATGATGCTGATGATGTTGATGATGATGACGATGCTGATGTTGATGATTATTATGATCATGATGCGGATGATGATGCTGATGATGAGGAGGAGGAGAACGATAAGGAGGAGGAGGAGGAGGATGGTGATGATGATAATAATGATGATGATGATGACGATGACGATTATGAGGATGATGATGATGATGCTGATGATGATGATGCTGATGCTGATGATGATGATGATGAGGATGAGGATGATGATGATGATGATGATGATGATGATGATGATGATGATGATGATGATGATGATGATGATGATGATGATGATGATAAGGCGGAGGAGGAGGAGGACGGGTTACAGTTGTATTATCAATGTTGCCAGTATCGGTATTACGATCTAGTGATGTTACTATCTATTGGAGGCCATCTACGGGGTCATCTTGGGGGATAGAGCTCGACATGGAAGGTCTTGGGCGCTCGTAAGACGGAACACCGAGCATGCTAGCATCATATACAAGCCCAGTTTTTTGGTGTGTGTACGTACATACACATTTCGGACACATAGGTGTGTATATATATATATATATATATACACACTTATGCGCAACAACTATGAGTCGCGTCGCTCATTCCGCCGGCCCGTGCTGTGCCATCGCAGGCGTTTGCCTGCACGTTCGTGGCCTCTTGGAGCCTCTTGGGGGCTGTTTGGGGGCCTCTTGGGGCCTCTTTTTGGGCCTCTTGGGGACCTCGTGGGGCTTCCAGGGGGCCTCCTGGGCTCTCTTGGGGTCCTCTTGGGGCCTCCTGGTGGCCTCTTGGGGCGGAAGGCTCGAATCGGTGGTTCGTGTTCCCACTCTTGGGCTCCTCTTGGGACCGTCTTCGGGCCTTCTTGGGCGCCTCAGGCTGGGGCCGTTTAGGGGCCCTCTTGGACCGTCTTGGAGCCCTCTTGGGGGCCTCGCGGGCCGTCTTGGGGCGGTCTTGGGGGCCTCTGGGGCCATCTTGGAGCGTCGGAGGCCCGAAAACGCGGGAACGCGGAAAACATGGAAAGACATAGGAGGAATGAGTGATTGTTGTTTCTTTTGGCCCTTTGTGGGGTCCTCTTGGAGCGCTCTTGGGGCTTCCTTGGGGCCTCTTGAGCCGTCTTGGGGCCATCTTGGGCGTCTTGGAGCGCTCTTGGGCCGTGATTCCGCTTCGTGGGCCCTTTTGGAGCTGCCTTCGGGGTTCCTTGAGCCGCTCCTGGGGCGGTCTGGAGGACCCCGACAACCGCCCCCAGAGCAAAACCATCTCTGATCCGACTCTGCTGGGACCTTGCCGGGACCTTGCGAGGACCTTGCCCGGGGCTCCGGGAGGGTATTTTTCGTCCAGGGCTCCCCAGGGGCGGCCCCGCGCGCGCGCGACCACTAGAATATACATATGCAGTTGCCGGAGATCTCCGCACGCCTCTGACCCGTAGGGTTGGCATTTTTTGAATTAAACAGCTATCCATTCATCATGCTCGCACTTCTTGGATAGTTCATGTATTTATATCTACTCACCGCCCACCAAACCACCCCAACCCAACCCGAAGGCCCCGATTTGCCCTCCATTTCTAGTGGGGGGGGGGGCCAGGGAACACTGAAAACACACATGGAACCCGTACCCCCCCCAACCCGAAATTCAGGCCAAAATCGGTTCTTCGGGTTGGGTTGGGGTGGTTTGGTAGGTAGTCATTTACATGAAATCGCCAAGCCTGAGGTTGTTTCAATGATTTTGGCTTCTCGGGCCAGCCCCCCGCCCGAGAGGCCTCCCGGACCGGCCCTGAGACCATCTTGGGCCATGCCGAACGCACACACGGCGTGTGCGTCCAGTCACGTTGGGAAAGTCACGCGACCGGCTCCCTGCGGGTGAGTATCCTTCAGTCGGGCGTGTCCATTTACAGGGGGAATCTGCAGACATAGTAAAAGAATAGTCTGGGGACAATGTCTTGAGCATTTTTTATTTTTCCCAACCATCCTGTGGTGTTGGGTCCTCGTTTTGAAGAGACAGCGCCCCGCGTTCATTCCTCCTCCCGCTGCCCCCTCCCTCCTCCTCGCATCATCATCATCATCATCATCATCATCCTCATCATCATCATCATCATCATCATCATCATCATCGTCTATCATCTTCTATCATCATCATCATCAATATATCATCATCATATTCATCATCTATCATCCAGAGGATCGTTGGCCCCATAGGAGCTCCACCGAAGGCGCCAGTAGCAAAGTGCGCATGGCGGCCTCGGGCCATTTCGGCACACCCCTCACGAGGATCGTGGCCCCATACTAGCTCCACCGAAGGCGCCAGTAGCAAAGTGCGCATGGTGGCCTCGGACCATTTCGGCAGACCCCTCACGAGGATCGTGGCCCCATAGGAGCTCCACCGAAGGCGCCAGTAGCAAAGTGCGCATGGCGGCCTCGGGCCATTTCGGCACACCCCTCACGAGGATCGTGGCCCCGTAGTAGCTCCACCGAAGGCGCCAGTAGCAAAGTGCGCATGGCGGCCTCGGACCATTTCGGCAGACCCCTCACGAGGATCGTGGCCCCATAGGAGCTCCACCGAAGGCGCCAGTAGCAAAGTGCGCATGGCGGGCCATTTCGGCACACCCTTCACGAGGATCGTGGCCGAATAGGAACTCCACCGAAGGCGCCAGTAGCAAAGTGCGCATGGCGGCCTCGGGCCATTTCGGCACACCCCTCACGAGGATCGTGGCCCCATAGGGAGCTCCACCGAAGGCGCCAGTGGCAAAGTGCGCATGGCGGCCTCGGGCCATTTCGGCAGACCTCTCACGAGGATCGTGGCCCCATAGGGAGCTCCACCGAAGGCGCCAGTAGCAAAGTGCGCATGGCGGCCTCGGGCCATTTCGGCATACCCCTCGCGAGGATCGTGGCCACACAGGGAGCTTCACTGAAGGCGCCAGTGGCAGGGTTCGCATGGCGGCCCCAGGCCATTTCGGCACACCACTCACGAAGATCGTGGCCCCATAGGGAGCTCCACCGAAGGCTCCCAGTCGCAGGGTTCCCACGGCGGCCTCGGGCCATTTCGGCACACCCTTCACGAGGATCGTGGCCGAATAGGAACTCCACCGAAGGCGCCAGTAGCAAAGTGCGCATGGCGGCCTCGGGCCATTTCGGCACACCCCTCACGAGGATCGTGGCCCCATGGTTGTGCTGCTTCAACAACAGCGCCTGGGCGTCGTACTCCGCCTTCTCGACGTGCACCGACACCTCCTCCCTAATGGCTCTCAAAGCCCTCTCGGGCTTCTGCTCCTCGGTCAGAGGGACGCCGTCCTTGTCGTCGTCGGCGCCCGCGAAGACGGCCACGAACGTGTTCCTGAGCATGTCGGGCTCCGGCGGAAAGCCGTGGCCACATAGGGAGCGCGGGCGAAGATGGTATTCACAATTGCGGTATTCACAACTGCATATGGTTGGGTCTTTCGCCAGGTGAATTGTACATTTTCTTGGATATTTGTTTTAATTGTTCGTGCCAAATCCGCCTGTAGGTGGACATGCCCGACCTCAGAGTCTCCTCAACAAGTTTTACAACTACACTTCTGCACTGTCCAGCTTAGACGACTCTCACAAGGGCCTAAGGGCACTCCTAGTCAGTGCCCATAGCACGGTGGTGGATTTGATTGAGATGCTTGTGGTGGTAGTGATGATGAGGATGACGATGATGACAATTATGACAATGATGATGACGATGATGATGATGCTGTTGAGGATGAGGATGACGAGGATGACGATGACGATGACGATGGCGTTGACGATCATGGTGACGATGGCGATGGTGGTGATGACTATGATGGTGATGATGGTGACGATGATTCTATCGACGATGATGACAACGATGTTGTGCATAATGGTGGTGCGGAGAACGTACAGCTGGTGACTGAGGGGTAGAGGAGGAGGAGGAGGAGAAGGCGGAAGCAATGGCTTTGGCTTGGACTTCGACGTTGACGCTGTGTTCTGCTTTGTTTTGTACTGGGGGCGGGGGGCCTCCCCGCGGGAGCCCTCTGCTCTTCGCGACGGCGGGCTTTCCCTGGAACCCCTTGTCAGAGCGCGCTCCCAGAGAGATCTGGGGAGTGATTCTGAGAGAGGGAGGAGCAGGAGGCGGAGCTCCTTCGACTAAACATCCTTCCCCCGAACAGTGCGCCTCTCCCCCAGCATGGATCTGTGCGGACACATGCGGCGACTCTGGAGGGCTCCCGAGGCATCCGGACCTCTCTGGGGGTCTCCGGAGGCACCTCGGAGGCACCTCGGAGGCACGAGGCGAGCCAAGCTGTTCAAAAGCCACTACAGACGAGCATCTGATTTTGAAACCTTCTCCCGGAAAGTTGGGCCAGCGTGTCTAGACGAGCTTGCTGGACAGCTTGCCCAGTTTCTCCAGCATTTTCGTCCCTCCAGCGTGAACAACAGACATTGCACCAGGCTTGTTTCAAGAAGCTTGCTGGAAGCTGGCCCAGATTTCTTGAATGATGAGTTTTTTGGTCACATTTTCGGCTGTATGCTCGCACAGTTTGGCGCCCATCTTAAAGCCACCACTCTCCGAGCCACCTTTCTAGTGCGAACCCGACGCGCGCATCACGTCCGAAGCGCTCTTGCGCAATGACTCCGCGACATTCGGCCGTAGCGGCGCGCGGCCAGCCCAATCATTTTTACGCAGTCCTGCACAGTGCTCCACGTTACTCTTGAGTCAAGGCTGTCACATCGCCCTCGGGGGGGGGGGGAGGAAGGGGTTTTCTTGGATCTCAGCGCCGACTGGGCAGCGGAGCCTGTCAGCAGAGGCCGGCCCGCACCTCGCATGACACGGATCGGTGAGGTGCCAGCTCTGGCCGGGGCGCCGAGGTCGAGGCGAAGGCAGGCCGGCAGCGCGAGGGGGGGAGGGAGCTGCCTTGGGAGGGGAGCAGCAGCAGCAGCAGCACCAACTCCGCGCTCAGGTCCTGCGAGGCCCGCGCGAGGCCCGCCCGCTGTCGCTCAGCGTCAGCACTGCTTGAGTCCTCCGCCCTCCCCGGAGCCCGAACTCCGCGCCCTATAGGCCAGCCCGAGGTCTCCCTCTGGGCGCGCGACCCGCGAGCTTCCGCGGGAGTGCCCCAAGAGGGGAGGACCATGAACTCTGGTGTGCATTAGCATGGGGAAGACGGCGCCGACGCCGACGCCGACGCCGACGCCGACGCCGACGCCGACGCCGACGACGACGACGACGACGACGACGACGACGACGACGACGACGACGACGACGACGGAACCCGACGCCGATGCCGACCCCGACCTCTCCCTTTCGTCCTCCTCCCCTTCTTCCTCCCCCTCGGTCACGACCCGACGCTCGTCCTCCTGCCCTCGTCTTTATCCTTTGCCCAGTCCTCCTCCCCCTCGTCCTCCTCCCCCCCCCCACCCGGCGAGGACGGCGGCGCCGACGCCGACGACGCCGACGCGCCGCGAGGCGACTCCGACGATCGACGTCGGCGACGACGGCCGCCGACGACGCCGAAATCGACGACGACGACGACGACGGCGACGCCGACGACGACGGCGACGCCGACGACGACGACGACGCCGACGACGACGCCGACGACGCCGACGCCGCCGCCGCCGCCGCCGCCGGCGACGACCTCCAGGTCGGGCGGGGCGCGCTCCGTGGCCCCGCTCCTCGCGGCGCAGCCCCGCGCCGCGCCGCGGGCGAGGCCGCAGGCGCAGCCGGCGCCGCAGGCCGCGCGGCTCGCCGCGTGGCGCGAGCAGCGCGCCGCCTCGCGCGGGCAGCCCGCCGCTGCAGCGGGCCTTTTGGGGGGCGGGGGGGCGGGGGTCATGATGCTCCAGGAGGGCTAACAAAATAGCACCCGACTGAAAAGCCCATCCCGGAGCTATTCTGCGTCTTGGTTTTAGGCTGTTGCGCTCAGTCGTTCAGGTTTTTGGGCCTCCAGGGCTAAAAAAATAGCTCTCTGGAAGGTCAGGGGGGCGGGGGTCATGCTGTTCCAACGTACTTTAGCCTTGACTATAGGGGAACAAAAAGTGGCATAAACATAGAAGCTCGGAGGTCCGCGCAGAGTTCTCGGATCGGCGCTGGGGCCCCCCGGCGGCGCCTGCGGCGCCGCCCCTGGCGCGCTCCGCGCGCCAGGGAGGGGGGTCCAGCGCCGATCCGAGAAATCTGCGCGGACCTCCGAGTTTTTATGTTTATGTCATTCTTCGTTCCCCTAATGATGTTCCTACCTACTTTAGCCTTGACCACCCGAAAGAATTTCGAGCACCGGAAAAAAAAGCACCGAAGCTCGAGGGTTTTCACGTGTCTGGCCCCGGGAGACGCTCGTCCGACACTCTTTCGACATTCTTTCGACACTTTTCCGGGTGATCGACATGATTTCTGGGATGTGGTCTTTCAGTACCACGGGAGCAGCATAAGGCGGGGGGGAGGGAAGCGGGTCCTGTGGTGTTCCCCCGTCTTCGGGCTCTCAGTCGACGGCGGAAAAAACGCCATAGAAGCATAAGCTTTCGACGCTCCGCGCCCCCCCCTGGGGGGAGGGTCCAGCGCAGATCCGAAGAAATCTGCGCGGAGCGTCAACAGTTGTTGTTTATGTCGTCTTTTGTTCCTCTAGAAAAGGGGTCTTGAGGTTTTCCCCAGTGTTCGGGCTCCCGGGGCCCTCCACCCAAGCAGTGACGAGGCGTCCTGGCTTGCCTGTAGGCCCACGAAAGAGTGTTCTAAGAGCCTTTCGCGGTCTGCACGGATTGTTTTTATAACATGTCTGGTTGGGGCTGTCTTGTTTTATTACATGGTCTCTATGGCCTCTGTTCTTAGAACATTCTCGGTTTCTAAGAACCTGTCGTGGCAGGCCTATAGGAATGCCGGGACGGTCGGCCCCTGCTCATTCCACGGGCCCTGGGACTGCAAGAAAACGGTTCAGGATGAAGATGTCGTCTTGGGGGAAGGCCCCGGGGTCCACGACCGGTTTCCCTTGGCACCCGCTTCCCACGTGCTGAAGAGGGAGGGGTGAGGGCAGAGGGATCCCTCCTCCTCCTCCTCCTCCTCCGCCTCCTCCTCCTCCTCCTCCTCGTCCTCCTCCTCCTCCTCCTCTTTCTCTCCTCCTCCTCATCCTCTGCTCCTGGGAGAGGCGCACGGGTGCGCAAACGCTTTGAGCTCCGCGCGGGTTTCTTGGATCGGGGGGCCTAAAAGTCTACGGCGCTGGAGCTCCGCCCGCGCGGATCGGGGAGGCACTAGCTACACCTGCTCCGATCCTGGCCTCGGGCCGTTCCGGGGCCCACCATTGGTGCGCATGCACTCTTCCGGGGGCCCCCAGCCGGTGCGGTGACCACGCCGTGCGGTGAGTCGGTGGGGATCCGGGGTCACCGCACCGTTCTGGGACGCGAGGCCCTCTCCGAGGGCGCCTCGGGCGACAGGGGCCTCCGGGGTCCCAAGACCGTGCGGTGACGGACCGTGCGGTGAGGTCCCTTGGGGTTCCGAGGTCACCGCACGGTCTGTCACCACACCGTTTCGGGACTCCAAGCCAGGAGGGCGTATACACCGATCCCGGGTCGTTGTTTGACGGCCTTGCGGCCCGGTGGAACGGCTCCGATCCAGGCCGAAATTTGCCAGACGACAATTGCCGCCGTGACTGTTTCTCACAGCTCGAGTCTGGGGAGGAGGACGAGGAAGAGGAGGAGGAGTAGGAGGAGGAGGAGAAGGAGGAGGAGCTTTGCGTAGACCTGAGATTCGCCGTCGCGAAACAAGTGCAAAGGATAGAACAATCATGAACGGAGCCCTCGACACCACTCTCTGGAGAACTTCTCAAGCCGCCTCGGTCTGTGAGGGTCCTGTGGCCCAGGACCAAGCGAAAACGCTCAGTGCGAACACACCTGCGACGTCCAGATCTTGGGGAGGTTCAACCCCCCAACACGATGCCACAGATCGGGTGTATTGACTCTTGATATCCAGGGCCCCAGAGGTCCCGCCCCCCGTACCCAAATCTGGCTTCCCACCCCATGCCGTCAGGGTATTCCCAGCCCGGCGGACGGACTGCCTCCACCCCCCTTCCTCGGCAGGGGGGTAGCAGCGCTCCTAGCGGCGAGCCCCCAGCCGGCGTTTCGTTTTTTTGCTGCCAGCTATCCTTCGCGTGATGTCGAGAGACGTGGCTGCGGCGATCCTGGGACGCTGCAGCAGTTCTTTTGACTCTTGGTTTACAGTGCTTGCCCGTCGGGGTCCTCATTTTTCTCAGGAACTGGGCGCGGGTGGCGGTCTGGCGGCTACGTTGCCGCTGTCGCCGCCCCGTCGCCGCCTCGTCGCCGCCCGTCGTCTGGGCCTCGCCGTCGCCGCCCCGTCGCTGCCTCGTCGCCGCCCACGTGCGCTATCTTTTCTTAAAAACAATGATACATTCCCCCGGGATTACGGGCACTTGTTTCGTATTACAATTTACATGTGATTCTGCCCCATCGTCCATCTTTAGTATGAATTCGCACCATCCCAGGCAGGCCGGTATCGCCCCCCCCCCGCCATCCTTTGCAACAGATACCATGCTCGCGCACTCGTTCACCACAAATCAACAGTTCTCGAGAATCCCTGGCAACACATGGGACGAAGTGTACACGCGCGCGTTGTCACGCGCGCATGCCGAAATCCATCAAAACCTCGATGTTCGTAGAGGCTTCAAAAAGCGAATGTCCAAAACATATATAACAGCACAAGGTTTCGCAACACGGATTTACCCGAACAAACTTTCGCGCCCGTTCTTGCGAATTCTTCAGAAAACAAGTCTGTCAACATTTTCACAAAGTGCTACCACCCCCTGGATTAAAAAGTTGAGATCGGAGCTACACCGAAAGAACCGCATCCTGGTATTCGTCCGTCGTTCGGCTTTCGAGCCGCGACTTTCGATCGGGACTGGATCCTGGGAAGTCGATGGTCGCTGTTCGACCGGACCTCTATCCTCGACCCTCGAAGTATCTGGGGCCCTCGATCCTCGATCCTCGAGCCTCGATCGAACCTCGATCATGGAAGTTCGATCGGCCAGGCATTCTGGAGCCTGGAGTTTCGATCAAGCCTGGAACATCGGTTCTCGATCGTCGCTCTTCGATCGGCCATCCAGCGTCGAACTTCGACGCATCGTGGCCGCTCGATCCTGGCTCCTCGATGTCCGAACGGCCCTGGATCCTCAACCCTCGATCTCCGACCCTCAATCGCTAGGTGGTTGTCGAACATTGATCGGCCGTGGAACCCAAAGCCTCGTTTCCGATCGATATGGGTTCGCTCTTCCACAGTCGGTCCTGGGTCATCGATCGTGTATCCTCGATCATCGATCCTGGATCGTCGATTCTGGACCGTACATCCTGGGTCAACCGCGTCGCCCCAAAATGACCCTGAGATCGAACCTCCCACAGGGGGCCTGCGACCCGACGCGACCTCAAGATGGCCTCAAGATGACTCCAAGACAAACCTGTGAACCGAACGATGCAACGGCCATCCCTGCGGACATCCGCCCAGGCGCAGATAGGACCGCGCGCGCGAGGCTGTGGCAACTGGAATCTGACTTGCACGGAGAGCATGCGACACGGAACAATCAAACACTGTGACGATAAGAGGAGAGAGTGGGAAGAGGAATAGGTCCGCGGCGTCTGTGTGAGCGTACATGATACCAGAAACTCGAATGTCAGGAAGTCTCAAGCGAAATCGTCGTTTTCTGGTGGCATGAGATGCGACAAAAAGTAATGTGTGAGGAAGTCCCACGCGAAATCGCCACTGTCTGGCGGCCTCAAAAGGGACCGGAATATTTTTTTGAGGAAGTCCCACGCGGAATCGCCACTTTCCGGTGGCAGGGCAGAATTTCCGGTCGCCCTGGAAGGCGACCGGAAACTTTTTTTGAGGAAGTCCTAGGCAGAATCCCACTTTCCGGTCGGAGCCCCATTTGGCCTTTATAATATTAAAAGGGATGATGGAGGCACCGGAAACTCCGGAATTGGCAACAAATCCAACATTGTCCCGGGGCCCCGCTGCCTAACGGGAGGCAAACCACGTCTACCTCGGCCCTTGCGGTCTCCACTTTTTAATCCAGGGGGTTGTAGTAAACGGGCTTCGCGCGCGCATGTCGAAGTCGTTCGAACGCCCTTTCACGCGTGCTGCCGCGAGAATCCTTTGCAAAACACGGGGGCGAAGTGCGCGCGCGCGCCGTTGCGCGCGCATGCCGCAATCATTCAAAAACCTTTGGTTTCGTAAGGATCTCAAAACCGAGCGCCCAAACACAATGCGTAAAAACTGATGGTTTCGCAACATCATTTTTCAAAAAGGCGGCGCTCGCGTTTTTGCGAATTATTGAGAAACCATAAGCGCTTCAATCTTTAATTCTTCCAAACGAGCCATTCTCGCCGCATGTCGGAATCATTCGGGCGCCCTTGCGCGTGTGCTGGGGGGCGCGATCCGCGTCAACGAATAACATGCGGGCCACTCTAGCGCGTCGTCCGAGCGCGCGCGTCGAACTCCTTCCAAAACCTTCATCACCGACTCCAGGGCGCCGTCATCGTCATCGGCGTGATCAGCGTCGGTGCCGTCACTGGCCGTGCCGTCGCCGTTGTCATCATCGTCATCAGCGCCGCTATCATCATCATCGTGTCTGCCGTTGTCGACGTCGCCATGGTACCGCGCCCGCCCAAGTCACCGACTCGCACTGAACCGGCCCGGGACTATCAGCGCCCATGCTTCGTATTGCAATGTGCATATGATTCTGCCCCATCGCCCATCCTAAATTTGAGTTCGTACCATCCCAGCCCAGCCGGCATCGACCCCCCCCCGTCATCCTC